TCCCAGTGCGCCTTGACAATGTACGAGTTGCTCAGCGACACCTTGGTGCCTTCGTAGTCGCCGATCGACGAGAGAATGATGCCCGACCTACACGCGTCATTGCCAGCGCTAAGGACGAAGTGTGGTCGTACCATTTCTGCACGGCAAAGTTGTCATCGGCCAACGCCAGCGCCTTCTGAATCGTCTCATGCGCAAAGTACGTGAGCTCCTTCTTCTCGGCCGCGGCCGTCGACGCAAGGCCCGCCACGTCATACGCCGCCCGCGCGAGCCGCCAAAGGATACCCGCGTCCCGCGGATCCTCTAGCATACGACACATGAGCGTCACGATGGCGATCTTGGTACGCACCGTGGGCTTGCGCTTGGAGATGCGTGAGCAGTTCACGGCGGTCGTGCGTCGGCGTGTTGTACAGCTCTTCCGCGCGCTTGGCCCGCGTCGACTCGACAATCGGCGCGCTCATGGCTGTCGACGCCGCGGTCGCGACAAACGCCAAGGCGGCCAGCGGCAGGAGGCGCGCGGCCGGGGCCGACGAAGATCGCAATGCAAGGCTGGACGCGGGGCGGAAGGCAGGCGCAGCCGTCACGGCGCGGGCGATACGGGCTACATACACGCCATTAGCATCCACCATCCTCCATGGCTGAAGGCGGCGTCGTACTCAGACGGTGCATGCTCGACGGGGCAAGTCGCAAGATGCTCGACCGCGTGCGGCCACGAGGTGTGTTGATGCAAACACGCCCGATTCAATTCGGCATCCCTACTTCAACATGGCATGTGCCACAAACTATATTTTTAAATTTGGCACGCGTCGCCGGTCGAGCTTGCCACATGGCTGCGACAGCGCCGAACTTCGAAGAGCATCGTCATTGACTCCGGCGACCAGCCGTCCATGCACAGACGTCAGCACGGCCTAAAGCCGTGGCATCAATGATACCTCCCTCGTGCATGGACCTGACGATCATTGCGTCCTCGCCGTCGTCGTAGCTCGCCGCCACTCGCCGATGGCCTGTGCCAGGCGACCCCCCGATGTTGCCTGTCGCTAGGCCACCAGTCGACGAACAAAAGATATCAAAAGTTTGGCCTGCGATACGTGTTTGTCCGTCCTCTATCTGTGGCCAACACGACCTTGTTCGTCCATGGCCTCTGATCCACGACAGGCGAGCGACGATGGCTCGTGCACGCAGCAGCCGCCCGTGCACCGCCGGACACCACTGCTCTCGTCTCCATACCCACGACGCCTGCAACAACACGGACGATCGTGGCGTCGGCGGCTCAGCAGAAAGAGGCGGGGAACCGAGCCAGCTGGTGCGCTGGATCGGGCTGGCAGTGGTTGTTGACGCTGGCAACGCAAATATCTCCACCGCGTCCATGCATACGGTCCTGGCAGGTAGCATTCGCATGTGTACCTAGCGTACCCAACATGGGAAGGTGCGCTGGTGGCTTGCTCGTCGAGGCGAGTCAGACCTGCGCAAAGGTTCCAAACCCCCATATTCGTTTTTGGCCAATCGCAGGTCGCTCGAATTTTGTGAATCGCCAATCAGAATCGTTGTCGGGATGCATTTTATCCAATCCAAAAAATAGCCACAATTCACGGCTAATGATATTCAGTGGGTCGCGACATTTAAATGTACGATACGAAATGATATCTTGGTATTTGTATGCAGACGCATTGTTTCGTAATTAAAACACATGGCCGATGGGAAAAAAGCGCGTCGCAGAATATCCGAATTTCCTCATTTCCGAAAACGAAGACGACGAGTCGTTGCAACTCCGCGTCCGGACCAGCAGCAGCAGCGATGGCCCACGAGCGCGCAGAGAGCAACTACTTCATCCTCTCGGGCAACTCGCAGCGGTCGCTGGGCGGTGGCCCGTACCTGCGCCAAGAGAGCTCGTTCCGCGACCGGCTCGAGCTCCTCGACGTGCTCGGCGACAACCCGAACGACCCGCTCGGCAGCCAGCGGGGCGTCAACGAGAGCGGGTCCGAGCCGTTTGGCGTCTTTGATGACGAGTTTTCGATCGACTTTTGCTGCGATATCCTCAAGGCCAAGTTTGGCTTCCAAGACGGCTCGGTCGACAACCAGCGCGAGCACGCGCTGCTTTTGCTCGCCAACTGCAAGGCGCAGCACCGGTCGCACGACTCTGCCAACCACATTGCGATCCTGCACAAGAAGCTCGTCGGCAACTATGTCGAGTGGTGCGCGTTTCTGCAGATCGACCCGATCTGGTACGCGGGCGCGGTCAACGACCGCTTCAAGAACCGCATGCACATGGAGCTCATGCTGTACCTCTGCATCTGGGGCGAGGCCGGCAATCTGCGGCACATGCCCGAGTGCATTTGCTACCTCTACCACCAGATGATGACGACGCTCAACGGCGACCTCAACTTTTCGTTCTTGAACCCGCCCATGTGGTACCTCGAGTCGGTCGTGCGCCCGATCTGGACGCAGTGCGCGGGCATGCAGAAGAAGGACGCGCTCGGCAAGCACCTCGAGCACACAAAGGTGCGCAACTACGACGATCTCAACGAGTTCTTTTGGAAGCCAGCGTGTCTCGCCGTGCCCGTGGACCACGCCGGCGAGGCCCTCTCAACGCACGGCAAGACGTACTACGAGCACCGGTCGATCTTCACGCTCGTGCTCAACTACTACCGCATCTTCCACTTCAACTTCATGTTCCTCTTTGCGCTCGCCGTGCTCCAGTACTGCGTCACGATCTCGCCAAAGGGCGCCGAGTCGGGCTTTTCGCAGTTTAGCGCCCTCGGCCAAGTGGTCGCGCCGTACTCGACGCGCGATCTCAAGCTCGCGCTTGTCTTCCTCGTGCTCGCCCACGCGGTCTTGTCGGCGCTCAAGTGTCTTCTCGAGGCCGGCCACGGCTGGCATCTCCTCTTTGCCGCGACCCCGAGCTCGTCCAAGTCGGTCACGTACGGCGTCGCGCTCTCGCTCCGCTTGCTCTGGAACAGTGCGTTTGCTGGTCTATTTGTCCGCATGATGGTCGAAGGCGCGTCGGTGTCGGGCCCGACGCCGGTCCTCGACTTGCTGCTGCCGCTCGCGCTCGGGTTCCTTGGGCCGTCGTTGCTACTGATGCTTGCGACGATTCTGTTGCCGACGCCGGTGCTAACACAGTCGTTTTGGGCCAAGTTTATCCGCGAGGGCGACTCGTGCTACACGGGCCGCCACATGACGCCGCCGTGGTCGTACCGGTCGGTGTACATTGCGTACTGGCTCGTGCTCTGGACGCTCAAGGCCGCGGTGTCGTACTGGATTCTGATCACGCCGCTCATGCTGCCGTCGCTTGCGATCTACAACATGCAGCTCACGTACACGACGTCGGTCGTCTCGATGCGCAACTTTGGCGTGATTGCATCGCTGTGGGCGCCTGTCTTCTTCGTCTTTTGCTACGACACGCAGATCTACTTTACGATCTTCCAAGCGCTGTACGGCGCGTACAAGGGCGTCCGCATGCACACGGGCGAGTACCACGGGTTTGCCGAGATCTCCAAGGCCTTTCGCTTGCTGCCGCAGCTCTTTGACGCCAAGGTCGTGACCAAAGACGCTGTCTTGCTCGACAATGCGCCGACGTCCGATGGCCACCGCAAGTCGATGCTCATGGCGCGCTTCGTGGTCGTCTGGAACGAAGTGATCAACTTTTTCCGCGAAGGCGACTTGCTCGACGATAAGGAAGCGGCCATCTTCCAGTACGACGTCGCACCGCTCTCGGGCGAGATTTACGAGCCCGTCTTCCTCTCAGCCGGCAAGCTTGAAGAGGCCATCGATACGGTGCTCAAGCTCCATGCGAAGAAGAAGAGTGCCAAGGCGAGTGACGCCGACGGTGAGCTCCAAGTCGAGCTGCTCTTGCACGACTGCCTCCCATCCATCAAGTCGGCATTTAGCGCCGTCTACTTTGTGCTCGACATCCTCCTCGACGAGTCGGACGTGCGTATCTTTGAAGGCCTCGCCGAGATGGAGCGCATTGCGGCCGATGGACGCTTCATGGCCACGTGCAACGTGCAGCACCTTCTGCATGTGCGGTCGGCGCTGATTGCGTTTCTCGAGGCCGTCCTCGACCTGCCGCCGCCAGCCGAGACGTCGATGGCGTCGCACACGTCCAAGGGCCACCCAATGCCGCTCATCCAAGAGTTTACGCACCGGTTTGAGACGCTGTTGCAAGCATGCGAGATGCTCTGCCGCGGTGTCCCGGACCTCGCTGCCAAGTTTACCCATAGCAACTTTACAGCCGCGCGGAACGGCCATGTGCTCGCGGCCGAAGGCATGGTGCGCCTCTGCAACGACGACGTTGCACTCTCGAACGCGACGCGCGCGCTCTTGCTCTTGACGCTCAACCCGGCGAACGCGATGCCCCGCTGCTCGGAAGCCAAGCGCCGGCTCGGGTTCTTTATGAAGTCGCTGCTCATGGACATTCCGCAGCTGGCGTCGGTGCGCGAGATGAAGTCGTTTTCGGTCATGACGCCGTTCTACGCCGAGGGCGTGCTCTACTCGATCAAGGAGCTCCAAGATCCGCTCGAGAACCACGCGATCTTTGCGGCCGCCGAAGAAGCCGGCAAGAACCTCACGATCCTCAAGTACCTCATCACGATCCACACGGCCGAGTGGGAAAACTTTATCGAGCGCATCAACGTCACGTCGGAAGAAGAGGCGATCGCCAAGCACCCGCTCGAGCTGCGGCTGTGGGCGTCGTACCGCGGCCAGACGCTCGCCCGGACGGTCCAAGGCATGATGCTGTACGAAGACGCGATCAAGATGCTGTATTGGCTCGAGATTGGGTCGTCGCCGCACAAGACGGGCGAGATGAAGCAGCGCATGCTTGACGACATGGTCATCCTCAAGTTTTCGTACGTGTGCGCGTGCCAAGTGTACGGCAAGCACAAGGCCGAGAAGAAGGCGCAGGCCGCCGACATTGACTTCCTGCTCCAGACGTACCCGAACCTGCGCGTGGCCTATGTCGATACGGTCACGAAGGACGCGCTCAACTCGTACTATGCCGTCTTGATCAAGAGCGAGAACGACCGCATCGTCGAAGTGTACCGCTACGAGCTGCCGGGTGACCCGATCCTCGGCGAAGGCAAGCCCGAGAACCAGAACAACGCGCTGCCGTTCACACGCGGCGAGTACCTCCAGACGATCGACATGAACCAGCAGCATTACTTTGAAGAGTGCCTCAAGATGCCAAATCTGCTCGTGACGGCCGACTTGCACCCGTCCGGGAAGCCCGTGAGCATCATTGGCATGCGCGAGCACATTTTCACGGGCAATGCGTCGTCGCTCTCCAAGTTCAAGTCGTGGCAGGAGCTCGTGTTTGTGACGCTGAGCCAGCGCGTGCTCGCCGACCCGCTCTACGTGCGCATGCATTACGGCCACCCCGATATCTTTGACAAGGTCATGTGCCTCACGCGCGGCGGCGTGTCCAAGGCGTCCAAGGGCATCAACTTGTCGGAAGACGTGTTTGCCGGCTTCAACGCGACCTTGCGCGGCGGTGTGGTCACCCACGTCGAGTTTATGCAGTGCGGCAAGGGCCGTGACGTGGCGCTCTCGCAGATCTCGATGTTTGAAGGCAAACTCGCCAACGGCGCCGGCGAGACGTGCCTCGCGCGCGAGGCCCACCGCATGGGCGCGTTCCTCGACTTCTTCCGGCTCAACTCGATGTACTACTCGCACACGGGCTTTTACTTTGCGACGTGGCTCACGATCGTGACGGCGTTCGTCTTCATCTACTGCAAGGTGTACCTCGCGCTCACAGGCGTCCAAGCGCAGATTGTGCTGCAAATGAACTCGACAGCGATCATCATGCGCAACTCGGACAAGGGCTTTGACACGCGAGCGTTCAACAACCTCGACAACATTATCAACACGCAGTACTACATCCAAGCCGGTCTCTTCCTCACGCTGCCGCTCATGGCCGTGTACTTTACCGAAGCCGGTCTCCGCCGCGGCTTTCTCCGCTTCTTCAACATGATGGTGACCGCGGGCTGGGCGTTCTTTACGTTTCAAGTCGGCACAACGATGCACTACTTTGACACCAACATTGTGCACGGCGGCGCCAAGTACCAAGCGACGGGGCGCGGCTTCAAGATTACGCGCGAGACGTTTGTGTTGCTCTACAAGGCGTACTCGGCGTCGCACTACCGCAAGGCGATGGAGCTCATTGGTCTCTCGATCATCTACGGCGTGTTTGGCGTGTTTGACATTTGCCAAAAGACGCCGCAGAGCGCGACCAACACGTTTTCGCAGCAGTTTTGTACGACGGCGCAAGGCTATGGCACGCAGACGTTTGCGATTTGGTTCATTGCGGTCCTCTGGCTCGTCTCGCCGTTCCTCTTCAACACGGACGGCTTTGACTACGAAAAAACCAAGGCCGACATTGCCGCGTGGGCCCACTGGATGTTTATGACGGAAGACGACGTCGACGCCAAGGACAAGGTCAACAATGGCGGCTGGATCGGCTGGTGGAAGGACGACGAGAAGCAGTACATTGGCACCAAGACCATTTCGCGCGTCACGGTCGTCTTGCGCGAGACGCGTCACTTTTTGCTGCTCTGGTACGTCGTCACGCTCCGGTTCGCGCCAGTGTACCTCGCTGGTGTCCTGGGCGCCGTCGTCGTGACGCTTGCGCTCTTTCAACTCGGCCACACGAGCGGCGGTCTCCGTGCGCGCGGCCACATCCGTGCTGTTGCCTACGCGCTCCTCGTCACGGTTGCGGTCGTCTTATACCTACTCGGGACGCTCGTGTACCCGTGGAGTCTTGGCTGGCAGAGCTCGCTGAGCCTCCTCTTTGGGTACCTCGCAGCGCTCTACGGCGTCAACGAGATGGCGCGCGTGTTTGCGTTTCCCACCATGTCGATCGTCAACGTCGGCGTCTTTGTGCAGCTGGCGTTCTTTTGGGACTTTGTCTTTGGCGCGATCATGCTCGTGCCACTGGTCGTGCTCTCGGTCATCCCGTTCATGAACATTATCCAAACGCGCATGATGTACAACGAAGGCTTTTCCCAAGTGCTTTCGGACTCGTCACAGTACGCCTTCTCGATTGCCGGCGTCGTCGGCTTTGTCGGTGCCGGTGCGTGCGGCTGGCTCTACTATGTGCTCACGACCTTGGCGTCGTCGGCCGGCTTTTTGAGCTACACGTCGGCGTTCCGGATCGTCTTGGCGAATGGCAACAACGTGACAGCGTACTTTGTGCTTGGTGGCGCGGCGCTTGGCGCTGGCGCGGCCGGGCTCCTTGGCTGGTACCTTGGCCGTCGGCTCACGATCGTCGCCGGTGGCTTTGTGTCGTTTGTCGCGATGAGCATGCTCACGGCCGTCGCTTCGTTTAGCGGCAGCGCCACGGACCTGCTTCTCGGCGGCCTTGCGCTCTTTGGCGTCTCGATCGGCGTGCTCTTGCCGACGATTGCGTGCTACTGCTATGAAATCTCGACAAAAGAGATGCGCGCGCGCATCATGCTCCTCCTCTCGGTCGGCTTTGTGCTTGGGAACCTCGCGGCAAGCTACTTCAGCTACGGCACGTCGATTGTGTGGCTCTGGCAGGCGTTCTGGTGCTTCCTTGTGTTTGCATGTCTCACGCCGGCCATCAACTTGCTTCCGGAGAGTCCCGAGTGGGTGCTGGCGCGCCACGGCGAAGAGGCGTGCAAGGCGTGTCTCGTGCTGTTGCGTCGGCGCCAAGATGTCGCTGCCGAACTCGACGAGCTCCAAGCCAAGCAAGTACACAAGTACAGCGGCACGAACGGCTTGTTCAAGGCCATCATGGGCGCGCTCTTTGTGAGCATCTCGGCCTTCTCGACGCTGCCGTTGTACGTCTACACGGCCCGCGTCTTTACCGGGCTCGCGCGGCCGCTCATGTTGGCCAACTGCCTCGGCACGGAGCTCCTCTTTGCATGCCTCTCGTTCTTTTACATTGAGAAGCTGACGCACAAGCTGCTGCTGCTCATCACGCTGACGCTCGTCGGCGTTGGCGCGGCGCTGCTCGGTGCGCACGACTTGTTTCAGATCTTTGGCGTCCAGGACCAGACTGCTCTCCAAGCGCTGCTCATCACGCTGTTTGCAGTCAAAGGCGCGGGCCTCCCGGCGACGCTGTGGGTCTCGGTCATTGGTCTCTTCCGCGTCCACGGCCGGTTCATTGCGGCGCCACTCTTCTTCGCGCTCTTCTTTGGCCTCCAAGCGGTCGCGACATACCTGCGGATCGACACGGCGACGACGCGCTCGCGTAGCTCCAAGGAAGCGTACTGGATGTTTGCGCTCGCGGGCTTGTGTGCGCTCAGTGTCCTCGGGACGGCCGGCCTCGCCCGCCGCGCGAACGGCCTTGTGTGCACCACGTCCGAGATGGAGTACGAGCTCAAGATGGCGGCGATGGCGGCCGAGACGCCGCTGCGGTCGCACAACTCGAGCCGGAACCGCGGCTTTTCACGCCAGACGTCCAAGCGCATCACGGGCAACCGGACGCTGTCGCCGCGCAAGGCGAGCGGCACGCCGTACCTCCAGGCACAGAGCTTTGACGAACACGCGTCACCCCAGAAGAACGTCGTGTGAGCATCCGCGTCGTCTGTAGGGTTGTTGACATAACTACATTTTGCATTATACCAATGTTGTTGAGGTGCGGGTTAGGGGACAGAGGCGCAAGCGGAGAGGCTCGATGGAGGTGGCATCGACCCCTTTGTCGGTGGTCCTCATGGAGCTCGCCGATATATGTGGTTTCGAATGTCAAAATGTCGGAAGAAGACGAAATGTGTTGTGGTGCATTGGACAAAGCAGTCGTAGCGATCTCGATCAGCCTCGTGCAGGTGCTTGTTAAATACGCATTAAATATGAATAAATACGCATTAAATATGAATAAAATAATGGAGCAGCGCAGGCGCAGTGTCCGCGGGCTGAAGACGGTTCATTGTGGCCTGCGTCGCGCTTGGTCACGTCCGACGCGCCTTCTGCACTTTTGCATGAGCCATCGGAGCGATAACGCACGATACCCTACCCTTGCGCGGCGCCAGAACGTTTTTTGGGAGCGCCCCGACCCTAGTGGCCGAGACAAATGAGATCCAAGGCGTTGTAGTAGAGACGTACCTTGGGACTGTCGCGGCGCTTGCGCTTGGCGTCATAAAGCGTCTCGTGTTTGGTCTCTTGCTCGTCCGGGGCCTTCTTCTCTTCCTCGTTCGGGTCGGCCTTTTCTTCTTCGCGTTGCTCGAGCGTCGCACGGAGCGTCGCGTGCTGGTGGAAGACGCGGGCCTTGAGGTCGTCGTCCGCCTCGGTCTCGGCCCACACGGCCGCAAAACTCTTGGTGCCGGCGTCGACAAACGCGCACTTGTGCTTGGCGTGCGCCAACAGCTTGCGCCACGTCGCGTGGCCTTGGAGCGCCGAGGCATTGCCTACAGTGTCCTGTCGCATCGTCGTCCAGAGACTATAAATGTACAGTTGATGAGGCAGAAGCGGCGGCTGCGCGATGTCATGACGTTCGTGCGGCGGTCGTCGGCGAGGAAGCCCATCTTGCCACTCGTGACGCACGACACGATGATAATGTCCTTCTCGCGGCCCTACATGGCACCTCAGTCCCGTGATCTTTTGTTGCGAGAGGTACTTGGAAGCCGTCGACTGACGACACCTCAATGCTGGCCCACGGCTTGGGGTCCATCATCGTAGTCGCCATCTTGGCGTCAATGGCGGCCACAAGCTTGCGCACTTGCGGCTTGTACGGCGTGATGATGCCGATGCTCCACTCGCCGCTCTGGACGCGCGGGTATGTCATCATGAGTTGCTCGATCTACAAAAATGGAATGTCAGCATGACGAGCGTCATGAACGACGGACCTGGTCGATGCAAAACGTAGCTTCGGCGTCGTTGTACTTGGACGTGCCGACGAGCTTCTCGACACCGGCAATGTCGACGACTGTGAGCGGCTGGAACATCGGGTGCGCGTACATGGCCGGGTCTTGGGCCAGCACACGTCGCGCGATCGCCGGCGCGTCCGTCAAGCCACCGTCGTAGAACGCCTTGGTCGTGAATGCACTCATAAAGGGGTGCATGCGGTGTTGCTCCTACAGTCGTTGGGTGAGAATCAAATTTTGACCATTGGTAGTACGTACGTTGAGCATCGTCACGGGCAGATACCCTTCCAAGCGCTCCATGAGCGAGACGGCCAAGCCGTGCTCCTCTGCAGCCTTGCTGAGCACCGTCGGCGCGAGCTGCTTGGTGTCGCCAACGAAAAAGAACCGACCGGCCTGCGCGAGGAGCGCGAGAAGCGAGCTCGGCTCGGTGGCTTGGCCGCCCTCGTCGACAATGACCGCGTCAAAGCTACAGATGCAAATGAGTTTGCATCGGGTGAGAGCGAGAGGCGTACCCCGATTGCCGGAGCTTGATCGCCATGTCGGAACCCGCGCACGATGAATGCGTCGCAAAGACGATGTTGGCCTTGTCCGCAATGCGCGCCAAGAGCTCCGACTTGCTTCGGTCCTTCTCGACGTGGAGGTCCATGACGCGCTTGTCGTTGGCGGGAAGCTGGCGGAGCGCGTCGTTGATCTCGGCCTTGTAGTGCTCGGCCGCCGTCGCGAGGCCAATGTCCCGCGCGCCATGTCGACTGCCCATCTTGACGGCCGTGAGCGCGGGCTGCGGCAGATCCTTCGGGCGCGGCAGTTGCGCTTGGACCTTTGCAGGGTGGCCGACGAGGTAGATGCCGACCGAGAAGACGCGCTCGATGATCTCATCGATCGCGGCGTTCGAATCCGAGGTCACGAGGACACTCGGGAGCCGGCCCTTGGACGGCGAGGCCTTGGAGAGGAGAGCTGAGAGCAGGGCGCAGATCGTCGTCGTCTTGCCAGTACCCGGCGGCCCCTTCCAAAGCGAGATACCGGTCTCGAGGTTGCCGAGGCCGCGACGCAGCGCCTGGAACTGCGACGAGTTCATCACCGACGCGAGGAGCCCAGCCACCGAGCGGTCCACGTCATAGAGCAATGGCTAGAGCAGAAGGGAGTAAGTTTACGCAATGTGAAGACAAGAGATGTACCGTGAGGAGCAACTTGTAAAAGTTGTCGAGCGTGGCCGCCGCCATCGCAATATCTTCGGTCGGCGCCTTGGCCTTGTCGACGAGCTCGGCCACGACCTCGTGGATCTGGGTCACCTAGAAAGAATGACAATGAGACTTTGAGACGCAAATCAAGAAATATCGTACCTCGAGGCTTTCGACCGACAAATTCATCTTGACGAGGTCCGTCAAGAGCGTCAGCACGGCGTCTTCGTCGTCCGTGGGCATCTGTTGCATGAATGTGAGGTGAGTCACGGCAAAGAAAGCATGGTACCTTCGTCTTCTTGACCGACTGCTTGCCCTTGCCCTTGGTCGGCGTCTTGGGCAACCCGGTCGACTTCTGCATAACGTCGCGCAGGGTTGTCGCAGCAGCCTTGAGCACCGAGACGGTCGCGGCGGCGCTCGACTGGTTGAGCACGACGTCGCGCAAGTGCTCGGGCAACTTGTCGACGGAGCCGACGCCGTCCAGCATCCGCAGCGTCGTCACCAGCGACGTGATCACCTTGGCTTCGATCGCCTTGGCCTTCGGGAGGTTAAGCGCCTTCTTGTCCGCCTGGAGGAGGACGATGTCGATCATGGGCCCGTACACGCGCTCGACGATGCCGATCGCATGTCGCGCGTTGTCGACCTAATCATTTGATGCGTATAGAGAGAGAAGTGGCAGTCGATTGACGCACTTTGAGGCGGACGACGTCGCCAGAAATGATCGAGTTCTTGCCGAGCGTCTTGAACGTCGCCACGTTGGGGTCCGAGACGCCTTCGAACGAAGCTGCGAGTCCGGTGAAAGTAGCGGGCAACGTTTGTTTCCTACATTTCACAAAAAAGGTGAGTTTCTAATGCGATATCGAGAGGAAACGTACCCAGAGGCGACCGCGGCTTGGGCTTCGGCGACGAGCAGCGCAGTAAAATGCTCCTTGTAGGCCTCCTTGGTCGACATCTTGGCCGAGAACGCGGGCGCGTCGGGCAAAAGCACTTGGACAAAAAACTGGCGCGTCGCAGCCGACGATTTCGGCGTCTTGAGCGTCTTGGGCGTCTTGGCATCGTCGAACGCCGTCTTCATGGCCTTGATCGGGTCGAGCTCCGCCATCGCCTTGAGACGCGCGCCGGCCTTCTTCTTCTT